TAACTTTCCTTTTAATACTTGCATGGTTTCTTTATTTCAACAGGATAAGCGAGTAATGGGTGTCACTTGTGCTACAAATAACGCAAGATTTTACACACTAGAAGAGTTAACGAGCAGGCTGGGCAAGCCTGAGGGCTTCAAGTGCAAGTGTGAACAGCTGTCCCCTGTGTTTTGGAAAGAATTAAAAAAAACAAAAACGCAAATGAGGATGCTGTGTGATTTGCACGTATGGGAATGTCCTATATGAAAACCATTCCTAGAGCAGATGATGTTCAAGGAAAAACATAACGGTGGTCGTCCATGACCATGATAATACTAAACGAAATCACTGGTTGAAAATTTTATTGTTTTTCTTTTCTATTCATTTTCGACAAGGATTATTATGGTCTGCAACACGAAACCCCTTAAGTTCAATTTATTTTAATAGTCTTCAATCATAAACCAATTTGACAACGTATGTTTTGGTCGTAGATTGGTGGTGTGATAAAAATATTTAATACATGTTTTTGAGGTCCAATAAGAGCTTATAAAGAGCAGAGCTGTCCATAACTCAGCTGGTCATATTAACGCTAGCACTAAAAAACATAAAAAAGTTCTATGAGACTGAAATGAACTCCTGAAGGAAAAATTAAATCCTAAATGCTTTCAGCATAACTGAGCGTCTCTTACAAGTTGGACTGCAGGCCGATAGATTTCAGTTTTAAACACGCCTTTTAAAAGGCCGGTTTTTTACGATATTTTGCGATAAGTTTTGTTTCAGTTGTAGAATCCATAGTAGATTCAGCACTACCGATTGTCATCACTCGAAAACCAGCTCTTGTAAAATACTACTTAATGTAGCTTGCTAGTAATCTGACAGGCCATGTTGTATGCAACCTGATATTTAATACCTTTGAGAGGTTCATGAAGTAACGTAAATTTTACGACAAACAAATTCCAGGACAAAGTTCTCAAAGGAGCTAATAAAAGGTTTAAGATATCTAGCAGCTGCAAGATGGAGAATTGCAAACAAAAAATTTATGAGTACAAAATATAAGTAATTTAAAATTAGGATCATAATATATTTAATTAGTTTTACATGCCAATAATTTTATCTTACTGCTTGATTAATAAAAAACGTCATGAGTGATGTGTTTTACTTATGTGACATTTAAAAAGGATAAATATTTGTTCAAGAACTGAGAGTGTCTTGGTAGGAATTCAGAGTCAAGACTGGTCAAAAATTAAGTCCTTCAGGATAATTCTTACAATTTACTTTCAGTCAAAGAAATCGCCGCGATAATAAATGGATTATCTTATATTTTTTATAATGATCATGTATATATTTAATGTTAAGTAAGTGAAGAAAACTACTTTTTAAATTAGGCTTAAAAAACTCTACTGATAAACAAAGAATGCAATGCTACCGAGTAGGAAAATCTCTTATTTTGAGATGTTTGTCTGAATCGCAGATAGAGAAAGGATCTACTCTTTTGCTGTTAGTGATTTGTGTTTTTTGTTTGTAGTTTATTGTTGATAAGATTAATTCGGTCGTGAATTATTGTAAATGATATTCAGAAGTATCAGTCAAAGTTTTTCTTATTGTACTTATCTTTGTTGATAATTCATACAGATAAATTTATGATAAATACTTACGGGAAATCAATTAATATAAATGCCAAATAAACTGGATTTACAGCGAGCCTGAGTTGGGTGCTTACCGTCAGTGTTTACTATTTCATGATGGAAGTTATCTGAGTTATTTATCTTAGGCCGAACAATGGACTTACGCGACGCAATTTCGCAATGAAGATGGTTTTGGAGCCAAGAGACAAAAGAAATTGGAAGTGATGATGAGATCTGTTTTTGCAGGCACAAAACCACTTGTCGCTCCGAGCTGACGAGTTTTGTGATACAGGGAGTCGACTATTCGTCTCTTCGAATTACATTGAGTAAGGAGATGTACCATTAGTATCGAATGTTCTAACCCCTTGTGACCTAACATCAATATGCATATTGTCCACACTGTTCTTTTCACATTTCCTAAGGTACTGACAAGGAGAATTTGTTTAATAATCAAGCGCTTCTTCAGTTGATGATCCCTTCCTTTATTCTCTTGACCTTCATGTTTGATTCAGGGGTGATAATATAAGGAGAAAGTAAATGTTGGTCATCTGAGGGGTCAAAGGGTTAATACCATATCTAGGCTCACGCAGCAAGTTTTCGAGTTGAAGTGGGGAGGGCTTGCGAGCGAAAACTCAACGGGATTCGGGATACCGCTTCCGGGAATACATTTATTTATTATCCCGCGAATTCTTAGATTGCGCTGTCTCTATTGTACAGAAGTTGATAAAACTTCGCAATTCAGTCCTTAATTTGGCTAACACGACAAGCAAATCTCTTATACCACTTGTGAAATTAACCGTTACAAAAGCCAGAAATCTCGTCCTTTCCTGTCATTTACTCATTGGTATACGCATCAAACCGAATGGAGAGTGTATGGTATAGCCCGCTGAAAAATATAACCGAGGCAGTGGCCGACATTTACTGTCCTTTTGGTTGCGATTTCTACCAAAAAAATCTGCCAGCATTGTTGAGAAGGGAAGGTTCCCCCCATTCTCTGTTTATACATTGTCGGGTGGCAAAAACGATCTTTCACATTGATACAAATTTTGCATACCACGGTAACAGCGCTTTCTTCCCTGGGATAGGGAACCTTCCGTATTAAGTACAAGCAAAGTTTTCGAAAAAAAAAAATTCTCCTTCTGTCAGATGTACTTTCACTTTCATAGATGTACTTTTTCCACTATTTTGGCACAATTATATTGGGTTCTTTCGTAACTGCATCATAAAACCAAATTCCTCTTTATACAACTATCCAGGGGACCGACTCCATAACATCCCAGTCCTAAAGAAAAAATTACTAAACTGAAGACCGCTGCTGTCAGTCACCACGTTTGGCAGTCTGAAACATTTGACTGTAAACAAATGTCCAAAGTAGACCACGATAGGGTATCAATAGCTTCTTCAAACTTTCGGCGTTTTGCCGACAAAAATAACCAACCCAACTGAGTTAAGAAGTCTTTAGCTACATGTGAAACCAGGCCTGATGTAAAACGTAGCTACAACGGGCGGAATCTTACAATATAACAAATCAAGTACGATGGCATCATGATTGCATCACCCAACAGAATGTTGTCGACAGTTCCTTTGCCGGGTAGCAAAAAGTTACAGTATTAAAATTGTAAGACCAAGCTTACTAGAAACCACCAGAAACTCCACAATCTGCAGTGATTCTCCGAGACAACCGTGTGACGAATGACGTCAAACTGGTTTTTAACAAAGAGAGATTTATTGGACAAAATATACGATTAATAAACTCAAGCAGGACGATGCTACAGGAAATTCCTATCTTTCTCCTCCTTAGATTTGACTTGAGAAGACTTTTAATATCATTATGTTTGACGTTAATTCAATAAATTAATCTCTTTATTTTTCAAAGTAGTATTATTAAATGCGTATCAACTTCTCATTCCAACAGAGATAATTTTGCATTATGTAATAGATACACAACAGCACAACAGACTATAAATAGCCAATAAAGGCGTCCGAGTTACCGTCTTTTCTGTCATCAGTTAATGTGAGTGACTAAGGTCCCAGTGGCTCGGTTTATATGCGATTAAACACCAAAGAGATTAAAAAATCAATCACCAAGGTCAACCTACGCTGACACGTCACTGTTTCCTATCGCAATTTTGCCCCATTATTTTTTTACTCTCCGTTCCTAATTAGTCAATTGTAAAATATATAGATACGGTATGGAGTTAAAGATGCAGTATTCTCGTAATAAAGAGAAAAAAAGTAATTTCTAACTTTTTCTCGCGTACAACTTTTAGGCGTGGTTTGTCTGTTACAAATATCGTATGTACTTATCTGGTAAAAGAAAAAATGCAAGTATTTATCAAAACCTTGAAGAGTTAGTAACCACCAGCCATGTAACCTGCACCAAGGACTCACACAGTCGATAAGCTTAGGCATTTTGTCAAATGAAAAACTTCACATGAACATGTCTTTCATTTCGTGATTTTTGGTCACTCGTGATGAAAAAAAATTTCAAGACATGACCCACGTCCATAATTCACGCAATTCACCTGTGTCCATACGTTTTCTTTTATTCATATCTCAATCCATCGAGTAACTAAATAATTATCACAAAATTAAGGAAATATGACTTAGACCATTATGGGTTATCCAAATGAAATACTAATAAAATTTTCCAGACCACTTTCCAAGAATGTTTTCGTATTCTCCCTGGGATAAAATACGATGAAATGAAATCGAGTTAAAAAATTGACTTCGATTGAAGAGCAATTTTTATTTCAAAACTTGGTGAACCTCATTCCCTTCCCTATAGTTTTAATACACGGTTCCCGATCTTAGACCCTCTTCAATTACTCATCGCATTTTCTTTAGCAAAAGACCCTCCGACAGATCTGTGAGCAAACACGTAACTATTATTCACGAAATTTCAACATTCAGAGAACAACTTTTCTTTTCGTTATCCAAGGATAGAGAAAGGAGTAGACCCTGTGGTTCAAACATAATGGGAGAGAAGAGAGATGCTTAAAAAAGAACTCATCCATGGATAATGATCACCAGCAGAAGCGTCATGGTTTAGAAATGAATCATCAATACATAATGAAAACCCAAATTGGTTGACTGCAGCCAAACTGATCCCTTGGTGAAAGAAGGAGATTGTTGGTTTTGCGTTCTTTCAACCTCTTGTTTGATGGATTAACAGAACCACATTTTAAATTTAAGAATGATAATGCAGCTAAAATTATGTGATAAAATTAATCATTGTCTCCTACCGGCCAAAGACTTTTTCTATCAGTTACAACTGGATTCAAAACAACGCGACTTGCACTAATTTGCCAGCTGCCAAACTACAAATATAGAGTTTAAAGCTTTAAAATCCTAGATTGAAAATATCACAAGCTATGTGACGTAAAGTGGTTTAGATGAGTACAGGTATGTGAGACCTATAGTCTTCAAGTATTTTACTCCCTATTTTACTTTTGAAACTATATGCCTTTGGTTTGAATATTTTTAACAAAAAAGTCAACTTAATTAGAGTGAGAAGGCTTTTTTTACTCAGAGAGTATCTAAAGGAGCCTTTAAGTCTCAGGACTGAGAACAATCCACGGACAATCCGAAATTCCGCAAAATCTTCTGTGATCGCGATCTGTTCAAAATGTTTTCATATTTTAAGAAATTCCTTGTTTGACTACTTTCTTAGATTACCAGTTTACGAAAGTTTTACTATGCCCGGCTCGTAAAACATAAGCCAACCCAAAAGCATCGACGAAATAGATCACATACGGTTGTTTTTGACAAGTACTGAAAAAGTTCAGTGTTTTTGTGACTTGTCTGTTAATCTGCGAGTATCAAACTGGAAGAATTTTTGCTTTTACCCTCTAATTCTAAAGCTGAGAGATATGAATAATTAGGATTCTAAAAAGTAAGCTTTGCGTAAGTTTTAAACCATCTAAAATTTAATAATGAATGGTTTTCCCTTGAGAGGTTCTAGGCCGGACTTGCAATGCTGTGTGATTGCATGTCTCATGGATCCGAGGAAATGAAATTAATTTTTCCGCTTAATTTTGATGATTTGCACTTTTATCAGATAATAATGCCCGATAGACAGTCATCTTTTGTTTACATGCTTAAATTTTACTATCCATTTAATTTGGGTATTTTCAGAAGCTTCCCACCACGTTGGTCCATCAACCAACATTTTGGAGACTGCTCAGCTTGACCAGGACGTCGTTGATAACGCGTTTTCATGAGCCACCTTTTGAAAAGCACTTTCAAACCTGGCATTTCAAGAATATGAATGGATATACGATGTTCCCTAAAATGTATAGTGTGAAAAAAACAAATGAAATATTTTATTAGTGTTTCTATGGTTTGTCACCTCAATGAACGCAGTAAAGGACGATTAATATATATGAAGATTGCTTTATTAGAGGTTGGAATTTACGATCGATAGAAAGAAACCGCACCGCTTAAGTTTTAGATGTCAGTTCCACCGTCGAAAATTTCCCGCAGATGTGTTGTGTGGAGTTTTCATGTTTTTTTCGAGAATAACTAATTTTATTTACGGCTGTAATTGCCAATTACCAGTCGGAAGCCGCGCAGTGGCCCTGTAATTGTGCTCTGCGCGATTGAAAATTGTGAACCAAACTTATGACGAAAAAGACAAAGCCCTCATTTAAATTCAAAACAATGAAAAATAAGGCTTATTTCGTAAAAATGGGTTCACAAATAATGTAATGTTTTTTATTTTATTTTACAATGTTTCCATTGTTAATCTTGCTTTTTGAAAATTAAAGGAGAATTACTGTTGTGCAGCCACTAATCTAGATGTGCTCATACATGAAGGACAAGTGTTACTTAGTGTTGTTATAGCAGAACTACAACACCTGCTGCACCATAATCCATGTTTAGTAGAATACGAAGCATTGACAAGAACATAACAAGTATTCCTTGCTATTTGGCGCGCTAGCTTAGTTCATCATAGCTTGACAAGTCATTGATTGCCGCGAATGTGAAACAGGTGAGTCCAATGATGCCTGTTTATTGTATGAATTGATCACCAAAAATCATTCAGGCCTTTCAGCGATATTTCCAACCAATAGAGTTCATTAGTCTAACTTTAGTCTGCATATTATTTGCTTTTAGAGTGAGAGTCGAGAAAGCTGCACTTTGATTGGTGGTAATCAAATGATTAGTGCCTGGTTTTATATAAGAACACAGCCAATCCTTGAATTTTTAGTTAACGTCAAATTCCCTCAATCTAAGGTCGACTTGGCGAGGTAAGAGGCGTTTTTGACTTACCCACTGTGTTATCACTGATTTTCTGTGAGCTTCCTTGACGCTTGTTCTCTAGTTGCAGCTCCCTATTGTAAGACCATCAGCTTTTTCTCGTTATTCGAGATTCACTGAATGTTCTCGATTATCACGTTAACGGTTCGCTGGCGAACCATAGCAAAACAATTTTCTCAGATCCTGATGAAGTGTCATGCCGCAGTCAAAGCGTGAAAATTTTTTGATTTTTGCTGTTAATTCCACATTTCTCTGTTAGATTTAGTATAAGAGTTTCCTGAGAAATCTAGGCGCGCTGTCAAGTCTTTATTTTCCATATTCAAAAGATTTCTATTGCAAAAGCTCCGCGAAGCGAATAACCTGGAAAACAGCTAGAATACGAAAATTGTCGGTGTTTCGTGGGTAACGGGAAATTGTCTTATTGTATTCGTTTTCGTTTCATGACCTCATTCGGTCGAATCTTTGTATGTGGAACCTAAGAATTGGTTTATTGTAAAATGTTTCTAAAAAGCACGATAACTTATTGTTACAGATGGAATTGTCGTGGTAGAAAGAAAATATGAGTATGATCAAACCTTTACAATATATTACGGCAGTGAATAGTATCTTTTATAGTCTTACAAATAGAGATATTAAGAGGGCGCACCCATGGGAGTACTCATAATAATTCAAAAGCATAAACAAATTCTCAGAAAACACTTCCACCAACAATGTATCAATAAACTCTGTAGCATTAGAGATAATTTTTCCCCTTAAAACTAATGTTAAGTGGTGGATTTTGATAATGAACTCATGTGGGTAATATGAAAACTCTTGCTAGATGTTTTTGTTGCATTTTGGAAATATAGCGGATAGTATTTAGATAATGAACTCATGTGGGTAATATGAAAACTCTTGCTAGGTGTATTTGTTGTACTTTGGAAATATGGAGGATAGTATTTAAATTGAATGGCAGCGTGATTTAAGGCCGCTCCCGTTGTCTTGTTGTTATTACTCAAGATGTCTCTATGGATATTTTACGACTTTGAAGGACTGGATTTCTGCTCACTCGAGAGTTCAAGAAAAAAACCTTAAACGCCTATTTGCAAGCACTGTTTATTTCACCTTATTCCCCCATAATGAAAAGATTTCACGCTTCGTATTTTAGTACGATTATTATTCCGTGAGTAGAAGTCCTCAGGCACTCTACAATAAAAATACTGCCATAAATCATGGTCCGTATACCAATTAACATGGTGGTGCATTGGACAAAGAATTATCTGAAACAGGGTATTTTAATTTGTTCCAGTATTTGATTAATAAAGTAGAACTTCGCGTTTGAAACCGAAAAGATAAACCTTCATGTGGTGTAACCTCGGACAACTGAAGGCAGAACAAAGAAAAAAGAATCGAGATGAACTGGAAACCAAATCACAACTGACCAAAAAATTAAAATCTACGATGCGGTTGGTAAATTATGAGTTTGTGCTTAACATCAAAGGACAGTTATGAAAACTAGGAAGCTTATTGAATGGCTGAAATACGATAACTAAAATGTACTCCACGATCCCTTTGTTGAGGTAAAACAGGTGCACACATAAAGAATTAGACTTTTTTGTGTTTCCGGCACTTTACAAAATACGCTTTTCAAAACAAACATGAATTTTACATGCAGATTACGGCATTTCAAAGGCTTAGCAACTGATGCTGAAAGAGAGAGATAAGTGGTAGTTCATTATGACGCGACGCGTGAAACAGCGAAAGCGTGGCCACATCGTTACAAAATTCTTTTGAACCATATTTAAGTGCGTGAAAGTATATTGGCATCAGTAGCGGCATTAATTTGGTATTATAAAGGTTAGTTTGCAGAGATCCCCCTTAACGACAAGAAAAAAGCGAAATCGTCTTTGTCCGACAGTGTTTATCAAATCATGAATAAAGTGATTCAAGGTGTTTGCTTTAGACAATGTGTTTGTTAAAAGGCTTCATACTATGTCAAAAGCTGATGAAGCTATCGCTAGTACTTCTCTTAACGGTTATAACTTATTTCGATTATATTCACGCGTTTTGATTTCTATATATCAACGTAATCCAAGAATAGTTTTCAGAAAACACCAATTCCACAAGGGAACTATATGCATTGAAAATTAAAGTTAAAGAAAGATTTGTTATTCTATCTCCTCTCCAAATTGACAGGTGAAAATGAGGTTCTTAAAGAAAGAGCAAAACAATACTGATGAAATTATATTCCTCTGATGAATTATCGCCTTTATAAAGGTTGCCTGATATCGAAAACAAAAGAAATTTTCATCCAGCCCGAATAATATTACATTCGCAAATAAATCCTCATTAACTCTCTAGATCAGTAAAAAATTGTTATTACTTCGAAATATTTACAAGCTGCAAAGAATAAATCTTGCAGCCAAAAATAGTCGTTCAAAAAATGTTCCGCCTTCCCCTCGCGTGACGAAGTTTTCTAACAAAGTCAAATCAGATTCTTAAGAGAACGTAAATGTGGTTTTGATTTTGTAGATCTTCGAACTGTGATTCTATCACGAGTCTCCTGTATTCAACATCGCTAAACACAGTTTCAAGTCTCCTCTATGATTACCCTTGAGCGAAACCTCAACCATTCAATGATGTAACACCCCAAACCCTCTACGGTAACTTAGGCTGCCAAACGCAGTTGTTTGAAATAAGACCTTTGCAGAGCTTTCTAGATTATTTTGAGATGTCTAAATTCAAATATGATTTTAAACCACGATAAATTCAGAACTATAGACCCTGTGCGAGTGATATCCCTACAGATAAAACGTCGGAGGATGCTTTCAAGGAAGGTCAAACTACATGAGACATAAACTTTGCGCCATCATGTCAGACTGAAACCTCTCAGCACGTACTTTCTGAAATTAATAACTTGGCATCTTCTTCACAGCAGGAATTAACCTCATTGTACAACATGAAGATTCTTATTGTTTTGCTTGCGGTCATGTTGGTTTGTTCAGCTAACTCTGTGGAAAGAGAAAGGGACCCAGAAGTACTGGACTCAGAAGTACTCGATTCAGACTGTGAGTAAATCCTTTAATATCATTCGAAAAAAGCAACACTAAAAGCAAGTCTATATTTGATGGGTCATCGACAATTCCGAGAAACTAATCATTATGAATAAATATGAGGACTAACACTAGGCAACTTTTCAATAAAACAGACACCAGACCCGCAACGAGACCGGATAAGGGTAGGATTAGTGTTTTTGCTTGCTCAGTGAATATCAGCACTTTTCAATAAGTTCCATTCCCTGTTCGCAACCTTGAAACTTTCAGTACAAAAGAAAACATAGATATTTCGTTCTGGAACCCAGCTTACGACCATCTGGTCGCCATAGAAAATTGAGCGTCGATCGCCTTCACCATCAATATTCCCATCTGAAAGGAAAATCAACAGGAGAAGATGATTTTAAGAAAAAATTTCATACTTTTATGTTTCAAAATTAAATTTTACTCTTTTCTTGACTTTCTGAATCGATTCTTTAATACTTTCCCTAACCAGGACCTGATTTGGTTTAGTAAATTCCTTTCTGTCAAGGCACTGAAAAAGGCTGCAATTGAGCAGCCTCTCGTTCGTTATGAAAAAATGCAACTCTTAAAATTTTTGTCCGGCTTCCCGAAATATCACTCGACTGAGACTACTCTATTTAAGGCTCAAGACGACATCTTATGAGTATGGATAATAAGGAAGTCACACTTCTCGTACTTTAAAACCTTAAGGGTTTTGGAGTCAGCAGCCCTACTTTAAGATGCTTTTAGAGACTTTTTCATCTAATTGTAAACAACGTATTTTTATTGGTTACAAAACTTCTGACGACTTTAATCGTCAATATCCCACGGGGTCTATTCATTCATCGGGCCCTATTCAATATTTCATTGTATAAACTATTAACTACGATTATTATTTTTTGATTAATTGCTATCATTATTATTGTTGTTATCATTATTATTATTATTATTATCATTACCATCATGAGTAACGTAAATACTACAAATCCTTGTAAGACTACAAAATTTGCTTCAGACTCTTCAGACGCTGCTTGTCACGAATGGTCAGTTACAAAAATTAAACGACAGTTGCTTTCTGTCGCTCTATTTCTTATTGACTCCGTATTTATCGATTCAAGTTTACGCTTGAAATTTTACCAGTATTAAGAAAGATGTTTTTTCGTCTAGTCACGAGCGTGGGACAAAGAAAAATTCTGAGTTCCCATGAGGAATCGAACCTCAGACCTTCGGATTTGCGCTCCGATGCTCTACCACTGAGCCACAAAGAATCTTCGGTGAGCGGGATCTATTACGAAGTTCTAATGACACGTGTCCTGCATACTGCTAGGATCAGCAATGTCGATAGCGTAATGTTTTTGAGAGAAAAGTAGAGATGGTAAGTTTTTAGCTCGGTGAAGAATTAAGAAAGATGTTTTTTCGAAAAAAAGACGAAAAAACATCTTTCTTAATTCTTCACCGAGCTCAAAACTTACCATCTCTACTTTTCACCAGTATTGTTTTTAGGATTTAGAAGAAATTTTTCTCAACAAAAAATTACAAAAATAGAGAAATGAAAAAAGAAACAGAAGATTCCCATAACCAGAAACTTAAATTAACAGAGAACAGATCATTATTTCTAAGAGATAAATCCATTCAGCAATTATCGGTTTTGTGACGTCAATATAACTTGTCAAAGATTGATCTAAAAATTTAATAATTTTATGTTTTGACTCATGATATGATCTCTACTTGCTCTCTGGGCCACCAATTATATAATGTGTTACAATTCACGGGTGTCAAGGGGTGCAAAATATTAACCACGCGTCAGTATAATTAAAAACCCTGAAGAAAATCATTGGTTGTTTCAAACCCACGCGAGGAAGAAGCGATCGAAAACTAACCAGACTCAGCAAACTGATAATACTTTCTGAATACAAAACATTAAAAATTCATGCCATAAAGTTGGTCTTCTGTTAGCATTCACTTCTCTGTACATCTTTGTAAAACGTTTTTAAGTGAAACACACGGTAACAATGGACATGAGACCTTTGGTAGCTTTCTTTGCGTTGTTGGTCGTATGTGCTGCATTAGAAAAGGACGAAAATTATTGGCGCGACAGGTCGGCCTTGAAGGAAGTCATCAAATGTAAGTGCATAACCCCTTTCTTTAAATGCCTTTCTGTATTTTTCCTTCACTACCGTTACTGATCAGTATGATTCCCCCATGATTTTACTTTTTTGTTAAAAATGGAATGAAGTCAATAGGGCTTAATAACTCCTGAATGACGACTAATTCAGCTAATTCTTTACAGTAAATTCTCCAATACTTAGTCAGACTAATCTCCAGGTATACATTCGTCTAATATTACCGGCATATAAACGATAGTCAGTTTGTACGATGGAGTCAGGCACCATAACTAAGCATAATGGCAATTACAGATAATTTTGTTGTCGAATTAGAAATTAAGTCGTGCCACCTTACGTTTGATTGAGCTCCAATAAATATGACTTCAAATACGAAGTTCACAAAGTCACTGACATGGATATGCAACGTTATTATTTGAAAGAAAAAAACAACAGTAATGTAATCTCAATGCAAACTAATGATCAACCCGGAACTTTGAAATATACGCGCACACGATGCAAAATTTGCTCTTTCATTCATAACGTCGAAAAAAATGTCGGGACTCAAGCGATCTATTTACAGATCATCTCGCGTGCACCTCTGCCAATGTCATCTATTGCATAACTTGCACCTCGAAAAGATATACATTGGTGAAAAGGAAGACGACTAGGTGACCTTCGCGAGGTATGAAGCAATGACAAGGACACATCCAAACCACTTGCTAGACACTTTAATCTCCCTAATCATTTAAGCAGCATATGGCAGTCTGCGGCCTTTCCCTACATCTAGGAAGCTCGTAAAGATGCAAAAGTCTTGTAGAAAAAATTTATCTTTCAAATCGGCACTCTTCATCCGCGCGGTATTAACAAACACTATTCATTCAACCAATGTATTATTATGGCGTAACTCCATTTTTTTTGCATATAAACACACAATCCAAAATTCCTCCTTTCACTCTGATGAAGGGCCAACGCCCCAAACGTCCACTTTAGAAACTCTCTACTGTGACCAAGTTATATTATCAACTCGGGTGATAAAACCAAATTATCTTGTGGTATGATATAGTTGTTAAGAGAAATTCAAGGTTTTCTCTCTTTTCTCTGGCTCTTCGGTTAACCTTCTTATTCACTACAACCTGTTAAATTGCATTACAACAGGGAAGGTCGGGAAGGGTAACTCATATCAACTGCGAAATGTTCTTCGTCAGTTTCTTTAGGTGAGAGTGACTTGATTGTCAATCCATGTCCATCGTCCATCATGTCACACTTAACAAGCGGATCACATTAAACTCCATAGAATAGATCTTGCATTAAGTATTTTCCCTATGTAATGACGTTCTACCTTAGTCTTCACACATTCCCAGTTATGATTCCGCAAAACAAAAGCAAGATTGACAATGTAAAGTTGTAAGAATCCTACTGATGAAATCAGAATTACACTTAGATTTTGTAGATTTTGGTTACGTGCCACGCAACGTATAATAAAGAACAAGATAGAATTTCATTTCAGGCCTATTGATCAATTTAGTGGTGTATTACTTTCGCATTTTAGTACCTAGTATTAATTTTGAATCTTCAAATTGTCTTGAAACTAAAAAGAAAATTGTTCTTTAAAAATTCACTGAAAATCGGTAGCCAAAATTATTTGTTTAGGTGTTATTTGATTTTCGTGTTAACCTGTAATTTCGTCAGTCGCCGGCACCTTTAGTTGCTTCACACAGAAAAAACACACGATACGAAATGTAACGATCGATTTTGTCCCTAATCTCACGCCATGACAGAAAAGCTTTTGAACACCTGTAAACTCCGAGCGCTTCGGAGTAAGTGATATTTTTAATGAATCTTCGGATTATTTTCAAGTTCAAGGATTGTAAATTACAATTTTATGAAAAACGAGGGTTGTTCTCTTATTTCTGTGTGAATCCTCGCACGCCTGCCAGTCGCTGGCGCCGCTTGTTGAAACTAAAACGAAAAAAAAATAAACTCTTTTAAGATTATCATTGGCTTCTTTTTCACCCCACCACTATTCTTAGCAACAAAGGTCGCCATTTCGTTTGTTTATTACTCGCCAAAAACTATCAAATGCACTTAAAAGCCTAAAATCAAAAAAAAGTTTACAGGAATCGACCAATCGAGCGAGTGCCATTCTCCACATCATATCTACAACTCGCTCTTGCGCATGCGCGCAATTCACGAGTTAAAAAGGGTGTTTTTCATGAAAAACCTGCAAAGAAATCAACTTTGACCGGAGCAATTGATTTCTCCACTCTTAGACGGATGAAATTTTTTCAAAAAGTATAATAAGAATATTATAAACCGAAAGAACAACTGTTTTCATGCCGAGTTCACCATCGGAGAAGGTGTTTTTTTATCAAAATTAATAGCAGCTTGTTCTGATTATTTTGCAAAGTTAAATATACTATTTATTCACATTAATTAAGGGAAGACAACAATTATTCTTAGTTGTAAAATGACATCGACAAGAGAATCAGAGAAGACGTCAACTAGTTTTTATATGTTTGTCGAATGGTTATACTTATAAGTGAAAATATAAAACTTATATTATACTTATAATGGCACGTCATATCCTACACCCCAAAACGTAATGTTAATCTAAAATCTGGTCGAAAATCTAATCTAAATCTGCTAAAACTTGTTTGATTTTGCACTTCCATTCATTATTGTATTCTTTACCTGTTTCCACAGTAGTTCGAAAGAGTCGTTCATGTGGTGACAAGTTTCGCTTCCGAACCTGTATCAGGGCTCGCCGTATGCCTTCTAACTGCAGCAAGCTGTACTTCAAAATCGGCTGCAGACGAATGTGCGCCCTATGTTGGTAAGTGGAGCGTCTACTCTTGCAGCCCACTAGCTTCTACTCATGTAACCCACCAGCGTATGCCTCTAAACGCCAAAGAAGTTATCTGCACAAGTATACAAGCCAGAGAAACAAACATTGCTTTTATTTTACCCTTAATCTTGATCCAGATTGATTTTGTCAGATTGATAGCCTTGAAGATGGTAGCAACGCTAAAACTATAATGTCGCACCAATTGCTACATGGTTCAAACAAATCAATCGAATTTGGAAGAGCTTTTACAAAAGGAAAATGTACTTTTGAGTAAAAACGAATGACAACTTTGGTGTACTTGAGATATTCACCAAAGAGCTATTTGAAAAGAAAAGAAACGTTTTCTGGGCTTACATAACCTTTAACATACATTCCGTATCTTGACGAGATCTATCTAACTACATAGCTTGCCATTCAAGTGAAACCAAGGAACATTGCCTAAAACCGATAAGTTATCAGCTGTACCTACACAGTTGAAAGTAGGAAATTGATAGTTATGATAAATAGCTACGTTTTCATATAACCATTGCTAAGGCATGTTCAATGTTGCTAAACCTTGCAGATGTTTTCTACTGGCAACACTGATGTGAGCCAAGATGACAAGCCGGAGTGTCCTTTATGAAGTGATTATTTCATTATTACTCAGTGTATCTGTTAAAACCACCTTTAAGGGAAATAAAAATTTGAAAATCAACTTCTCTGTTTCTAACCAGTAAGTTGAAGAAAAATGAACACAGACAAGATAACAGCTAGCTTTATTTTGTTGGAGATTATCAGAGAGGCGGAAATTTAACAGCCAAAGTTCATTAATTAGTGGTGTAATTCTGCGGGTAGAGATGCTCAGCGGTCGATGCATCAAAAACGGACCAATTTTAAAATCTAGTTTATTAAGTAGTTCGGTTGATGTACTTACATTTTATGGTTGTAAACTTGTTAAGAATGAGAAATGAGCAGTACATAACTATTAAGGTCACTCCAGGTGGCCTTTACTCGAAGGTCCCGGTAACTCATTGGGCCCGTAAAGCTGTTCTGTTTTCATTCAAGATGAAGATTTGAAAATTATACAATAGAAATTCTAGCTAAAGAAACAAAACTGACTGGTCAAGGAGCCAGAGCCTGCTTCTCTATTCTTTGAATTTAGATTCTAAAATATAGCTTTGGGCCTGTTAATTCACCGGGACTTCAGAAAGGCGGGCCCCAGGTTCGACCATCTCTTCATGACGAGCTGATTTAATTTATATAGGTTGACCGCTAAATACAGGTTCCACGGAATAGCAGGGTTGTTAAAACGATGAAAAAACTCATGCATTTCATCCCATAATTGACACTTAAATGTACAAAACTCCCCTCAAATCTACTACTACTTACATTGATTTCCGGGAGATAAATTTGGACTACAGTTTTACTCAAAAGATTATTCTTATTTTTATTTGAGCGGTTCCACTTAGCCCTTTAACTTCCACGAGTGACCAAGACAGAATTTCTCCTTACAATATCAATACCATATCAACCAGAAAAGAGAAGAGAATAAAAAAATATATCACTTTAGGGATAATAAGTTGATCCAATACCAAATTCACTGAACACACATAATGTGACAGTGAGGAGAATGACAAATTTGAACTGGGAGTTAAAGGGTTGAGAACCCGTTCAATACAGGTGGAAGACAAACAGGCCATTGGAACTCACGTAAAGGTTGTTCACGACCTCTTAAAAGAGGTGAAAATTACAGTATTTTATTGGGAAAAAACCGGGCCTTTGATAACCGACCACTTATACAGGGTGACCGCTTAATACAGGCTCGACTTTAACAGTAATAGGACAGCGTGGACTTCAACTCGATCTGAGATCATACGAGCGATTACAAAATCGGACGACGGCGAAGCAAGAGTTTTACTTTTTAATAAAGAGTGTGATTATTCACAGAATTGCGTGACACGAAATCCTGTTACCAATTTATCATAACCATTACAATTTCCGAAAAAAACAATACATTTATTTGGGGAGATATTTCCCTTAGAGACATTGCCTAAAGTAAAAAGTTCCTCCATTTTGAAATTCCCAAGTTTTGTAGGGTAAGTGGTTGTTGCTATGGTTATTGTAATCAATTCTGTGATTGGTGGATTTAGCTGAATGGACTTGCTCTGCTTGGCTGCTTAAACCGTACTATTACAGAATAATCAGTGAAAAGTAAAGCAGCTAACGCACCAATCACATTGGAGGAAATTGTAGTAGTTATGATTAAGAGTCAAATGACGTATATAATGTTTGTATTGTGTCGAGATTGTGATTGTGTGTCATTCATAAAAGTCGCAGTCATTCACCAGTAGAATGTGATGTACAGTTTCCCTCCATATTCCCCTCAACAGACCGATTATTTTGGTGCTAAATAGCTAGCAATAAGGTAGCTAGCACACATTACGAACTGCAAGCAAAAATCTGACGGGCCGTCTCATTTTTGAGTTGTATAATAAGACTAATAACATTCTTAAGGAAATTACAAATCCTAATGGGTATATTTAGCTTGTGGATTCTACCGTTTTATGAAGGAAAAAAACGATGCACCAACCAAAGTAATTAAGATAAATGCCACAGAGAGTAAACAAAGTGCTACGATAAAAGCCTGTCACTGTTGGTACATGAACCGAAAACAAATGCAGATCAGGAGACTAAAATGATTTGCTTGATTCAGGTTCACGCCTATACCACCGAAAAACGAAACACAACAAGAAAACTAATTTTCACTTACATGGAAATCTTTTTTTTTTAATGTTAGGAAAGTGTAATATTAAAGGAGGTATATATGTCTATCTATATACGACCACGAGGTAAAATAAAAGGCAAGAAAGAATTGAGGGATTAGCCACACACACGAGCATTTCAAATTTCTTGCAATAGCACCACGGAAAAAAAACACAAATCAAAAAATTTTCCATTTGATTTTTATTTATGATGAACTATGTTTTAGTCACTTTATTTTTAAAAAGCTCCGCAGATTACTTATTCATAGATTCGCACTAAAAAAGCAAAACAGCGAGGTTTATAAATATTCAAACCTCCTTTGCTGCTTTGGTGAAAGAAATTACTCGTTAACAATATACAATACAAGCGCATGCTGCCTGATAGTAAGCTTTTAATTCCATCAAGTCCTAACCAGCTGCGTTCGCTCACCGACGCCATTATCTCGTAGCTACACACAAAGACTTTTCATGATACATGGCGTTTGCTCGTGGTCTTGTGGTTTTGTTGACCTTTTTCACCATCTCAGAGGCGTTTTTCTCATCTGCAACACTGGATGTAGATAGTGAAAGTGCCGTTCAGACTCGCGATCATGATCTCATTACAAAACTTGGACTGTTTCGATGTCTGGTAGAATTCGTTAAAGATAACCCACGGTATGTCCACGAAGAAATGGTCAAAGACTTCGAAGATCTTCAAAGGATTACCGTCACTGCGGATGACTCAAAGACAGTCCAAAGACTCATCAGTGTGATGGTTTCCAAAATGCGCCTTCAAAACGCTTTAACCGAGATACAAAGCTCAAACGCGGAAGTAAACTCAGCCCCCCTAAAGATGGTGGCTTCCGCTCACTTTAGCGGAGAGCAGTTCAAAGATGGCGCAAAGCGTCTTTATGAATTGAATTCTGAAATAATCACGACCCTATTGAAGAGCGTGAAATATGAACACGCTCGTCAACTTGTTGGTCAATATTTACACACATTACAAGACTTTTACAGCCACTCAAACTGGGTTGAACTTGGACATTCAGTAAGGAAATTCTCTTTTTCATCAAATCAAGCAGATTTATTTTCACCTCAATTTCTCGCTAAACCAAACGAAGCAACTTGTGTTCCTTGCCAGTCAACCGCAGGTCAGGAGGATGATTGCGATAACAACTTGATAACAAACAAAATAACGAGTGGATACTACGGAGGTCAAGACATTACAAAACCGACAAACGTCAGCAAATGCAGCCACGGCGGCATTCTCGATAGTAGCCGCGGAAAAGGAACAAGAGGAGGAATAAATAAAGAGTCTGCGTCAAGGAAGTTGTCGCCTCACTACAAGTAAGTGAAAGGAGCGTTGCCTTTTCTCCCAAAAAGACTAAATTATTTGTGTTTTTCTTTTAGCGCGACACGAGTTTTTCGGCGTACGAGAAGCGCTCAATTATACACTGAATGCGCAAATTATTTCCATTCCGCAAACATAACCCTCCTGATCCATTTCTTGGGAATTTGTCTTAAATGCATTATGACTTATTTACAAACAGAAAGCCAATGAACCAAAGTCGAAGGCAGATAAGGACCATAAAATTCGCCTTTGCTTAGCAATGATCTCCTAAGTATTGAATGAAAATTGAATTCAAACATAGAACATTTGAATAATTTAAAAGGAACATCTCGCGTCTATGGATAATGAAATAGATTGTCGTATTTCTTTTTTCTTTGTCTTTTCCTCTCTTCCGTAAAGGGAGAAAAAGCATAGCACAAGTAGACAATTTTAGGATATTCGAAAATAAGCCAAAGGTGTCAGCGAAAGCTCTTCTTGGTATATGTCAATATTGATATGGAGTTCATTTTCGCATTGTTAGAATATTTTTACCTATTAAACTCAATAAAACAGCATAGTATTTTTTTCACTTTTCAAAACGAAGAGTTACTTAAAAAAATTTTCGTGAGAAATCAAAGCCTAGTCCTGTCCGCAGAAGACAATTTGTAAAGCGTCAGTCTTAAATTTCTAACGGGTAGTCGCGGACAATGAGCCTTTGTAATGTATTTTTCTAAATTTACATTTGAACCTAGATCGCAGTTTACAATCAAGAAAAGGTGAAAATGAACCACATCGATAGAATTTGCATCAGTGAGACTACTCTGTCAATTCGCAGAGGTTTTGTGGGATACATCAAAGAAACTGTTGTTAAATCCTTCGAGTATTCTGTTGGATTTCAGTCTAATTACAATTCTTAGCATTAATACCAGCTGAGAAAATTAGCTTGTTTTGGTGAGATTTGTATATTCCGCGGTTATCAAGAGAATGGACAAAAAATCTAAACGAAAAAAAAATGTATCTTGTTTAAAATCTCACAACATCAAACGGCAATTGACTGGAAAGACGTTTAGTGAAAAATTATTATACTGCTTTGAATCAAATTAAGTGTATCGCCTTGTAAGAAACTCAACCCGCGGAATATTTTTATGCTCAGTATGACTCCGACAGACGACAGCTTGTTTTGTGCTTTTTAATCGATCTTCTTTTTTTCACCGGCAGAAGGCTAATAACGTGTTCAATAAAAGCCAAACAAGACGGTTGTAAACAACAAATACTATCAACGCTAGTTTCTGCTTATCTTTCGTATGGAAATCTCGTAACATTAATATTCTAGACAACCTTGCTGTTTGGTTCAGATAATCGCCGTTTCATCAGATAACAAGACAGCTTAAAAAACCAATTATGCTACAATGAGCCGATTCAACGGTGCACAATGAAGTTCTCTCTATTCTAAATATCACCCTGGATTAAAAAACCAATATTTTAATGAGAGCGAATGGATTCCACATTACTATTTGTAAGATCGGCAAAAATTTCTTTCATGAGCTGAACTTTGTGTTCCAAAATTCATATATTTTCCTTCAGGTTCCATGCACTGGCCGCTGAACACGCAGTAGAAGCTACTAAACAGTTTTTTGAAAATCTTCGTGCTGCCGTGGGTGATAAGACTTTTGCTCGTTTTCTAAATCTCCAAGCCGTAAGGACACTAGCGCTTGTTATAGATGATACCGGCAGTATGGGAGGTAGGACGAATGAATTAGTTCTTTGTAGTTCTACAGGTGTTAAAGTTAAAACTTAAAGGAGTCCAAACCTGATGGAAGCTTACATAGAGAGCGAACCGGGAGTTTTAACTAAAGGAAACCGAGAGCAAATTGAGTGAGTGGCTGTCGGGTACTGATGGGTTACCTGTGCTCAGCCTCTCGTCTTACTCTGTACATGGTATGCTTGTAGATGGGACATGAGTAAATGGCTCATGCTGAGCTCTGGTCCTACAGGTCTGAAACGGGCTAAACTCTCATTTGTTTGCTGAGATTAGTTGCTCAATAAAACAGTCTTAAAAATGAATTAATTATAAGTATTACGCTCCAAAAACCCTTATTCCAGAACGATAGATAAATGACACTGGAAAATAAAAAAATGAACAAACAAAAGCAACATCAGCAACAAAGTGAAAAACTTTGGTTTACCATAAAGACACAAACTCAGGAGGGGAAATCAATTTTTGCGACAGCCAAGAGAGAAGTTGGAAGTTACCTGACTTGACATCAACAGCTAACGATTCCTTCTAATATCATTTTTTGCAGAAGAAATCAAGTCTGTAAAAAAATTATCCATAAATTTTGTACAGAAAACAAAGAATCCTACGGCCAACATGGCTTTTATGTACATTCTTGTACCATTCAACGATCCACGTAAGTAAAAGCGCTGCAGTTAAACTCAAATATTCTCATAGAATGATTCCTTCACTAGGAATATCAATGGCTGAAAAACTAGAATTAACTAACTGAGAAACTGTGGCATAATTAAGAGTTACAATCATCATACCCTGTTAGGCCTTAAATACCATTTTAGTGCACTTTTGAGAGGGCACTCCCAGCTAGAGACTTTGGTGGCCACAAAACCCCATTGGTACGTTTTGGAAATCGTTTGAATCACTGAATAGGTAGGGCTGCACAATCTAAGGTGTTGGTTGCGTTGTAGCGTGTCTTGGTCGTTATTTTCACAGGAGTGGGCCCAGTGACGGCCACAAGTGACGCAAATGAAGTCATCGAAGCCGTCAACTCCCTTGAAGCCAATAAAGGAGGCGACTGTCCAGAACAAGGCATGACTGGATTGTATAAAGCGCTTCTGCAAAGCGTTCAAGACTCGGTCATCCATTACTTCTCTGACGCAGACGTGAAAGACTTTGAACTAGCTCAAGTAGTTCTTATATTGGCAAAACAAAAGAGAGTGAAAATTAACTTCATATTGAGTGGGCGTTGCAGATTCAGTCGACGGCGTAGATCAACAAGGGAGGAACCAAGACTAGGATCACAGGATCTGTTCCGAAGTTTGGCTGCAGCCACAGGAGGCCAGGTTTTGAAGACAAAAAAGAATAAGGTTTCCGTTCTTGTGGACATTATTGGCTCAAAAAGTTACGCCAGTGACAACAGGGATCTAACAGAGGTAACTAAATATCAATGGCTTATTCTTTAGTATTAATGTTCTTTTGTTGTTTTTGTCGTTGCTTACTTTTATGTCTCCCCAAGGATCTTGTTTCACAAGGAAACTGAATTATTTAAGAAAGTTACGTTATTCACTGATACATACTTTTCAGGTTATCCTTCTACACGTGAGCAGCGACTCTAAGCAAGACGAGGAAGACACGCCTTTTATGATCGACGTGGATAACACCCTTAAAGATGTATTAATAGTGCTTTCTGCGGAAGGCGATCTTGGGATTACCCTGTTAAATCCAACTGGTAAAAATTAGAGTTGCATGTAATGCTTAAAGAGTGCTCACATGTTTAACGCAATGCTTACTTACATCACACTTTCAAATTTAATAATCATTTTGATAATGCTGTTTGAAATTGTTTTTCTCTCTGTCGAATGTCCGTGTCATTAAACGAGAGAATATAAATAAATTCTTGGAAATACTTTCCGTTGCGATTCGTACATCGCATGAGGATACAACCATTAATAAACAGAGAAAAGAAATAAAAATGAAATCCTTAATGAAAATATATTTATCCGTACAATAGTTTAACTTTTCATTTGCTCTCTTTTCAGACGACCAGCCGTTAAAGGCAGCAATACATAGTCAGTTTGATCATATTCATGTGACTGAAGTCAAAAAATTCCACGGCGGTCAACTAATGATTCGTGTGCGATGCACTGGACCCTATAGTCTGCAGGTTACTGGACGGAGTGTTTTGGACTTTACCTACCAGCTGTCGTCTGTTGAAAATCTGGAGAGTGGGGAGAGGAAACAACTTTTCGGAAGCCCAGTTAAAGGTAATTAAGTGATCTTATCTAAAACGAGATAAGCTGTTACAAGACCAGCTTACTATCACTACTATTATATAACAAACCTCTTTCTATTGCCCTTCACATTTGGCTTTCTTTCATTCAAGATCTTTCATCAAAGTTTAAATCCAGTTCATTGTAACTTCATTTCTAGGAGGGTCCCTTTTTGTATCAATGTCAACAAAAGTATAACCAGATAAACGGCTGTGAATATATGAAAGTCATATATTTGAACATCGGATAAAGACGTGGATATGAAAGCGATCTTCGCAGTCATAAACACTACTTAAGCAGTAGTGAAAAGAAGACCTGAAAAATATTCAGGCCTGTACGGGATTTGAACCACTCACGGGTTTATTTGGAACCAACACAATGACCAGCTCCCAGTTGGCTTGTTAGCTCAGTTGGTAGAGCACTGCACCAGTATCGCAAAGGTCACGGGTTAAAATCTCGTAAAGGCCTGATCTTTTTTTTCAGGCCTTCTTTTCACCACTGCTTAAGTAGTGTTCATAACTGCGAAGATCGCTTTCATATCCATATAACCAGATGATACCGTCGTTGACATTCAAAGGTCTATTAATCTACTAATATTTATCTCAAGTCAAAACAATATACCTAGAGAAATACTGAAACTCAAATGGCAAGCACTGATGACACTAATTCTGATTTCACAGGACAAACGTTGCTACTAACCTTGGCTTTTACCAAACCAGAACTCATCAAAGAAGTTAATTCACTATCACTCATAAACTCAAGTGGCGTAGAAATGGAGTCGTTTACTGTAAAAAAAGGAAAAGAAATCCACAGAGATTCACTTCATGTCCTTTTTGCTCCCTCATTTGAACGATTTCGCTTTCAGTTGAACGGCAAGACAAAGGAAGGATTTACACTAAGAAGAATAAAACCAACCGAAATCAAAACAGAAGAAGTTCAATTGGACTTTAACGATCGAACATTAAACAGCTCCAGAAGAATTATTCCTAACGTTACCTCCAAAATACAATTAAAAATAACAAATATGGGAAACTCAGAAAATTTTACCCTGAAGGCAATGGACGACTTGGGATTTATTCAGTCAGTAGAGCCTCATAACTGCTTTGTCGCTGCGAAAGATACCGCTGAGTTTTCATTAGTAGTGAAGGCGCCAGCTAATGCTACCAAAGGAGAGACAAGTACCGTTACTGTATATGCATCACCAACGTCAAGCGAGAGCCCATCGAACTACATGATGTTTTACGTCAGTGTTAAAGAGATCGTGAGTATTGAATAGTCGACATTGTGGAACGCGAGTAAGATAAGAATTATCAGCTTGTGCACATTTTGAGCTTTTATTACGCTGGGAGTCTATACATAAAGACCCTTGACCATACAATGCTTACTGAAAACTTCACTTATATTCTGTCTTTTGAAACATCAATTTTGATACCTTACCGAACCTTTCTTGCTCTGCTTTCTTCGTAGGAAAGCATTTTCCCACCAAAATGCGAAGTTACAAATCAAATAGAGAAATGTGATCCAGTGTACCACCTTTCCAATTGTTCAACAATCACATGGAAGTCATACATTAACATATATAGCCCGGGAAAACAGTTACTAGCAGTTACTTCTAAGAATCTTGAGCTTGGACAACTAAATGGTAAATATACGCACATCACGTTTTATCACGTTTTGTGTTTCACCTGATGGGAGCCTGTTCGTAATTAGTAGAACTGAAGATCTAGGAAAGAAGTTAACTGTAATTTTTATTGGTTGAGTAACCCTCAAAAATTTGTTGATATTGTCAGCCGTTGCTAAATTGTAAATTGTGAGGCAATCGGGAAGAAGAGGGCGCGGAGTTGATTATCACGTAAAATAAACTGAGTGGAGTGCACTTTGGTCTGAAATCGTGGGCGTGATTTCGAATTAGAGGTATATTTTCGGTCCAAAAAGTGCTCGACACGAAGTTCAATACATGAGTTGCTAGTAATCGGATCCTGGTGTTTGCGCAAAGATTTCTGGGATCGCCACAGGGCAAACATTGCAACTCACTAGAAAGAAATGTGTGGCGAAAGGTTGCTTCAACGTTCAAAAAAACGATTTTGAAGAGAGATCAACGCTTTTTCGCCGCAATTTCATCATAAATGGATTAAGAGAATGTTGATACGAGGGAAGAGTAAGTTTTTGTCAGCATTACCACGAAACATGTTATAAAATATACCGATTCACTTCTCTCCTTGCGCAAGGTCTATGATATTATTTTGAAATCTTTAGCCTGTAGTGGTCTCGACATATTACAAAACTAACTTCGAATTGCAGGGATATAACACTTAAGTTTTTTCAGTTGTATTTTTGTATGTACAGCCTTTTTTTTATACTTTTTAACGTATTAAAAAGGTGTATTACGAATTTCTGAAAATATACCGCCTCAAAGGAGAGAACTCGTCGTCAGCGGAGATGGAAATTGTTTTTATATGACACAGCTGTTGCTCTTTGGAAGGATGAAATAGGCAATGAAAAACAAAAGGAAATTTCTAGGTCGAAGTTTTTGTGCTGCCACTTATCTCCTCGAACTCCCTGAAGGATCTTATCAGAAAAAGTAAGATCACGGGAACTCCGGCAAAAAATGGACGTATATATATTTAGTTGTGCATCGCTCCTCAAGCGATCCATTAAGGTACCTACTCATCGGTGTATAAGAAAGGATTCAGTTTTGAGCCGATTATCAACGCTGGTTCGTTCTTCTTGTTCACAAAAAAGGGGCAATGAAGGTGTTTAATCACTAATATACTACGACAATATCTACCTGCTGCCTCGAGGCAATTGTTGTAGGTTTTTTTTTTTTTACCAAGCCAAGAAAAAAGCTAGATATAGACTTAACACAAGTAATCAAAACTGAAAAGGCTCTATTGATTTATTTCTTGGCGATTTAAAACTAATATTTCTAAAGTTCGAGATCATTATGCGATGTCTATTTCACCAAACCCTTGCGCATGGGAAAAAGTTAATAGTTAGATTTCATTACATATTTCACGGTTGTTCAAACAAAACCTTACGTTTCCCTCGTATCAATATTGCCCACACCCATCTGTGACAAAACAGCGGAAAAATAGCGTTGATACATCACCAAATCACTTTTTTGACGTCGAAACAACCTTTCGCCGAATATTTCCTTCTAGTGAGTTGCAATGTTTGCCTCTTAGCGATCCCAGAAATCTTCGCGCAAACACAAGGATCCGATTACTGGCAACTCATCCATTGACACATTATGACATCTATTTTGAAATCGCAAAATTCCGTCGCCTCCCACAAGTTTTTTTTTTAGTCTGTACAAATGTTTATTGATACAGTATATTGAGCCGGTTTGCAAGCAGTTGCAAAAGTGGTATCTCATTTTCCTGCAATTGGATTTCTTTACACAAGCTTTTAAATTTGATTAGTTGTTATATTTTGGTAAAGCTGTCTCTGGTAAAGCTGGAAAAAAGATGCGATTCAGAGCATGGTACGATTTGAGAACAAATCGCACGGGTGAGAGCCAATCAGATTGCAAGGATCACAGTGATTTCAAAATAGATGTGACAAATCGCTTGATTAAATATCTCATGCCGAGGTGAAGAATCTCTATGTTTCGCGAAAACGGACTCTGAGTGAAACTGCATTACGATTATTCCAGCAGTCAGCAATATATGCTCGATCCGTCTTAATCCATTGTGTTAATAATGTTATTCAAACTAAGAAATACGATCTTAAGAGTTTAATTTGTATTTATCTCTTCACGCTAATGCTTTGTGAGACGTTATCTAAGGTTTAATATCATGGTCCACGTCTCATAATCACGACTCACACAAACATGGAGTCGGCGAAATTTGGGTTTCCTGGCTGTACGATTGATTCCGTGAATAACTGAAAAATGTCAGAGCATCTTTGCTCGTTTGTTCCATTTAGAATCACAGTCACTGTCAATTTATCATTTAATAAATATTGTGGAAAAAATGCTATCTTATCGTGATCAAATCTGTCTTTTTTTAACCAACAGTTAGTCCCTATGAGACAGGAATGTTCAACTCATCAGTATCAGGTGTCTACACATCGACATGTTGCCATCCTACAGCAAGTATAATCGTCGTAGACCAGAACGGTAACACAGCTGTCTGTGAATTAACTGCAGTGACACCAATCATAAACATCAAACCCAATATAAAATTCAGCGAACTGAACGTCCTCGTTGGAAAAAAGTCTAAACTTGAATTTAACATTACAAACCTCGGAACGAAAAGCTCGTTCTCTTTACAAGTATCGGATAGTGAGTATTGCATTGGTTTCGTCACTCCGATAAACATTAACATGGATCATAAAGAAGTTGTGCGATGTGAAGTTGTCCTGATAGGAAGCAAAACGACTGGATCTAATAAGACAAGCCTTTTAGTCGACGCTGTACCTCTTGCGGCTAATATCGACGCTACAGAAATACGTTTACTGGAAGTGGACGTGACTGTTGAAGCAGAAGCAACTGGGCCATCACTTGGATGGAATGTTACAGCCGATTTGGATCATATTCCTTACCTTATAATTCACTATGGAGATGAAGAAGAGCTCTTGTTCCAAGTTAAAAATCATGGCCAAACAGGAACATTCAATTTTATTGTGAGTTGCTAGATCAACGAAATCCCGACTACCGAATTTATTAACTTAGATGCATACTCCTAACACAAGGAAATTCATACAGTTCGATCTGTTGACTAATACCACGTATTAATAAGTATCAGTAAGTGATAAGTAAGTTTTGCCCAGTAGCTCTCTTCTATCCGTCTGCCTGCGACCTCTTTGTCTCTACATATCACTCGACTATGCCCGTTTTTTAGTTTAAGCCTATTTCACTGAGACTATTGAAAGCAAAAGGGTTCTATTTTTTAATGACCACTCCACAAAATTTTATTTGCAAATAAGCGGTAAAGATAACTTATTTTGTCTTTCTATTCGCTTAATATAAAGGTATGTACAAGCTGCACAGCTCAGTCAACTCAGCCTATAGCACCAAGATATTTGGGAAACATGCACTTTCTTATGATGGCTCTTCATGTCGCTAATCAAATTACACGTAACTTTGAATTATTGTCTTCGACACGTTTTTTAGTGTATTGGTATATTGTGTTTTAGGCTTCCCGCTCCAATAACGTCTATTTGCGGTTTGTACCAAATCCAGTCAACTTAGACAACAGTGAGACAACTGTATTAAAACTCGTCATGAACACTAAACAAAATCGCCCCTCAGAAGAGGAGATAGTGGTCAGTGCACTACCAAATTGGAGTAGCAAGATGATAAAACTTTTCAGCAAAAAAGTTCAAGTCATTCCTGCACTCAAGAGCGTGGTGTCGAGTGGTAAGGTGTTGATGAGTACAGGAGCCATAGTCAGTGAAACCTTTACAGTCATTAACGTTGGTCGACGACAACACTTCACTTTTAAGGTTAGTAAGCGACTAAACATCTCCATCATTGTTTTAAGTTTACCAGATATTTACTACTCAAGCCCCGTTCAAACGGTCATAATAGTTTGAAACTCCATGATAGTTTCAACTATCATTTATCATCATTGACTAAGATGTTTTCAAACGGTTCATGATAGTTGACAAAATCACGCAACGAGATCGCGTAATTGTAAACAAATATGGCGCGGGCTGAGGTCAGCAATTTCGGTGGCATTTGAAATTTTAGCGGAGTAGTCGCCAGTTGAAGATACTGAAGATGATGAGAGTCAACTACAAGACATTCTGCGAAATTTTGACGGCTATTTTAGTCATTTTATCTCTTGCCATTTCGGTTCGAGCCCATTTTTTGCAAAACTGCTGACCGATGAACTATCGTTCACTATCATCCGCTTGTTCAAACAGCAAAAACCATCATCAACTATCATTTCAAATTGAACATGTCTAACTACATGATACTTGATGATAGTGCATTTAGCTCGTGTTCAAATTCGCGTGGTTATTGAAACTATTATCGTGACCGTTTGAACAGGGCTTTTATATAAGTTAATAGTTCATTATCATTCATCTCACGTTCTGTATATTTTGCTTTTATACTTGTTAGAAAGTCATATTAATCTTTAACTCAAAGCTTTAATAAGTAGGCGTAGCTGACATTAACATTATTGTAAAGCGCAATTGAAAGGGAAACATAGCAAGGAACATACGAGACCTCAAAGCAGAAACAAGAAAACTTCCTTATGCGCAGGAAAACATGATTAAGGTGTGAATCTGATTGGCTGAGAAAGTGGCGCGAACTTCTACGCTAATTATAGAGCGGAGAAAAGCAATTCCGGAATACTTGCGACACTATATCAAAAATTGCCTTAAAACATCAGGGCCCTTTGAAAATCACTCGTGACGTTTTCGAAGTTCTAAAATTGTACTCGTCCACGGCCCCTGAAATTTTGAGAGTTTCGAAAATATCGTTAGTGCCCATAACTCCCAAATTGCATGAGCACGTTTACACGTTTGTTTTGAACCAAGCCTGATGGGAATAGGGCAACGTTTGAGTTCCTTCAATTACCAGTCTTACAGGTCCATTAATAGGTAAACAGTCTCCCTTTCTCAATTTGTTTTTCCTTGCAGTTTCATTAGTAGAATGGATACAATTTATGTATTGACTGATCATCTGGTTGATTACGTGTTTGATATTCATTCGCATTAGGTTTCATGTCCAGGTACTCTTACATGCCATGTAACTCCAGATGAGGTCGTTCTAAAACAAAACGAGAGCATAGTAGCAAATCTGACGGTGGAGTCCTCAACAACCATGGAGCTAGACACCATGGAGGTCAAAGTAATGGCGCTATCATCATCATCGAAAAACAGCACAGCTGGATATCTTATATTCACTCTTGAAACAACCATAAAAAACCATATTATAGCAAAGGAAACAAAAGAAAAAGATAAAATGGGATTCATCACAATTCTTGTAATTATATTAATCTGCGTTTTAATATTTGCTCTGTGTCTACTCGCGATGTGTTGCTACAGGAGAAAACGAGGTTCGTGGAACGTATGGAAAACAAAATCAAACCAACAAAAACAAAGAGTGAAAGTGGAATTGTCAACAACAGATGACAATGCCGAAAAAACTGAGATGGTATGAGGGGATGTATTATCACGCACCTGCAGCTGTTACGTGACTTAATCAATCTTCACTTCTTTTAAAATTCACAAGTTCATCCCATTGACCATTAAGTAAAAATATATAAGAACTGACATAAAACCAATAAAGAGACATCACCTTGTAATTGAACTTTAACTTAGGTATTACTAGTGCCCTAATTGGTCAAAATCCTGTCGTGTCGAAACGTTGGAGGAGTGTCAAGACGTTAGGTCTATGAATTGTAACTTCTCGGTTACATTCATTAAATCTTTGAACCAGAGTGGCATCAAACCATGTCTGATTGTCTACCTGGTTGCCTATAGAACTTTAATATAACCCTTCGTTTGTTGCACCGGTAAACCAAGAGAAAAGGGAAACATGTAAGTTAAATTTATAAAGTAATAGACCGCACTTTCCATGGGTTTAGAAGCGTAATAACCACTTGGGATGTTGGAAGAACACAAACTTTTTTCCTGTTTCTCTCAATATTCAGGGTGGGTTTATAACGCCAATAAACCAATAGAGAGTGCAGTTTATTGCTTAAAACAAAGGCAGGATGTTCGAAACCCAATCGGTACTTTCAAATAAAGGTCAACTCCGTACGCAGTACTATTTCAATGTCCAGGGGTAAGGCACTTGATTCACACAACACTCCAAGTTAAGGGAAATGTGTATCCCCAAATGTGATCATTGCAGCTATATGTCGAATAAAGAAAATCGTGCCTCTCACATTTAAGAGAGATAATCAGTTTTAACTCTGATTAGAATGGTTTGTTTGACAAAAATGGATAGTTTTTATGGTAGATATTATCAATAGTTAGCGTTCTAAAATTTATCCTTATGCGCAGAACATAAGTGACAATTCTTTTGTGTAGAGAGCATTCATTAAAGGAAAAAATGAGCGAAATACTCAATTCAAAGAAAGTTATTAGAGTTATAAGGAATGGTTGGGATACTGGTTAACTAAATTTATGTCATAAAAAACACGTGATTCAAAAAAATATCTCATGCAGCAACCAGTGCCGAAGATCATAGAATTGTCTGCGGTAATAAGTTATACGTATAAAACTATTATTCTTTAGAATTAGAGAACACAAAAGAGTTGAAGTAATTGACGAGACTGAATTCTGGTCAAAACGTTATTACACTGTATCTAGTAAATCATGTAACGGCCGTGAGGTATTTCAGAGATGTTTCTATTTTAAGTCTTTCAACAACAGTAAACATAGACATTCCAATATGACAGCATAAGTGCCGGCATCGCACGATAAATATCTTTTCATTACATCGATCATTAAGTACAATATATAGCTGGTAAATTCTGTATAATTTACTAACCAACCAGCAAGTAAAATTTATCAAATAGTTTTCCATAATTACACCAAGGTAAACTAACAGATCTAAGTAAAAACAAAGGTAAAAGGTTTTCATTCCAATCGCGACAGAGCACATCAATTGATTAGCATTTCTCGAACCTTTCTTATTAATAACGTTTAATAACTCTATCCTGATTATTTATTGTACTTGTACCAAATTCATAGTCACTGTGTACATTAAATTAATAAGTTCTGTTGATCCATTCTCTGCTATTACCTCAGCTACATGAACTTGAAGTATTTCCTGCAAGGTTACATTATGTAAACTTTTCAGCATTGAAATCAATCAATTGCTATCAATGAGTACGGTTTTCATGTTATTCATCTAACTCCACTTCCAGTTTTAAACAACAGTGCTCTAAATTTGTTGGCCCGTTAGCTCCTTTGGTAGAGCACTGCGTCGGTATCGCAAGGCTCATGGGTTCAAATCCCGTAGAGGCCTGAATCTTTTTCAGGCCTTTATTTTCACTGCTGCTTAAGTAGTGTTCATTACTGCGAAGATCACTCTCATATGCACCATTCAGTGTTCCAAATTGCGAGTGTTATGTGAAATCCACTACATTGGTCCCCCTTCCCTTCAAAATGTCAATAACCTGACAGAGCTAACAAGAAAACAAAAAGATGCGGCAGAAAAATATCGATTTACAATTATCACCACGTATTTTTTATTGCAAAGACAACAAGGAGAATTACTAATGTGATCTTGCGAGTGAGAGGGTTCAGTCAGTGGAGCCTGTTAATCATTGTGTAAAGTGGTGTTTCACACACTACTCTGTATCCTAATCTATATTTTCTGGCTGTTGCTATGATACTTACCCTCCTCATCCTTACGTTTAAAGAGTCTTGTTATTTCCTCAATAGTCCTTCCTTTAGTCTCAGGAACGAAAAGTAACGTGAAGGCAAAAGAGAATGCCACTAGTGCCATGAACACCAGGAAGGTATAGGGATACAATGCATCCTAAATGTAAGAAAAATTTAGTCTCAAAAAGTGGGATTGAATAAATATGGCATTCTGATAGGAAAGTGCTGTACATGCCAATTATAATAAAAATAATTATCACTGTACCTGCATTGATGGAAACACAAGTCCAACCACAAAGTTTGAAAGCCAGTTGGCGGTACCTGCTATGCTAACAGCTGCAGCTCTGGAGCCTTGAGTGAACAGCTCAGCTGTTATGAACCAAGGAATTGCCCCTACAACATGGTATTTATTCACAGAATACTAACATTAAGTAGCCAATATAATCCCTTGAAATTTATTGCATGGGTTATAAGATTTAGAGTATTGTTCCTTTCATACTGTATCTTTACATTATGCTAGCAGTTCAGTATCAGCTGAACAATGAGTCAACAATGTGAATAGAGTTACAATCAGAACCTCCAGCCCTTCAAACTTGTTGATTTATTGATTAAACCATAATACACGATGAACAGAAATGATTGCAATAAACTCTTCCATATAAAACATAAATAAACCACAAACCAGGTGTTGTATTATTTATGATAACCATACATTTTCATCCCTTGTTAATTAATATCCACTTTGTAGATGCAGAACCATGAAACGTATAATCATGTTACATACATGTTACATACCTGGACCAACTTGAAAAAATATCACAAGCAACAACAAGGCTATGACAGATACATAATTCATTCCAGACAAATTCTGTAAATAAAAAGATGCATCTTGAACATTATTTAGGCAAAAGATCATCATGATATAGAGGTTACCCACTTTAGTATGGTCAAATGTAATGGACAAAAGAACTCCTCCCTACCTCATAACGAAAGGATATTGTCATCAGAGCATAAAACACAAACATTCCTCCAAATCCTACAAGCATCAATGATCTTCTTCCTATAATTTCCACTGTTTTAACCTAAAAATTGCATCATATTGGAAACACATAAGGTCAGATAAAAATCTTGAAGATATGGTAGGTCACTTCTGGAGCATGTCATACCTAAATATACGGAAAGAGTGAAAAAGATGATCAAAAGGTATGGAATAATCACTTATGGGGAAATATACTCAGTCCACCCTTCTAGATGTTATGAATAATAACTGTGAAGATAGGTATCTAGAAATTGCTACCGTGCCAAAGTCATGCTGAAATGCATACCATAGTGAAGTTTCTACATTTTGGAATGTTCTAGAATACTTTGTGAATGTATATAAAGACTCAGTCATGTGGTAGTAGTTATTGTTGTCAGGAACGACGGAGTGTTTGGAAAGCTGTAATGAGCAAGAGCTACTGTGGAGGATTGTTCATTTCAATTGTAAGTTTGTGTCAGCAGTGAGCAAAGTCATTATCTAGAGTGGGCTTAGATGAGTTTTTTAGGAGTCACTCCACATGCAGTAAGGATATTACGTGTTATTTAATATAAGGATATTACAAGTTATTTAATAAAGTAGTTGGGTTTTCAGGAGTATAGTGTTTTTTCTGTTGGTTAAATTGTACCATAACATGAGCATTCAGGAAGGAGGCTTGCAATAACTGTTATTATGGTTAAATAATCAATACTTAGAATTTTGATATTGCATGCGCTTAGTGATGTGGTTTAATTTTATAGCTGGTAATAAATATCCATTTCCCTTATAATGTGGGGGAATGAAGATTTTAGAAGTGAAGGGTGCATTTTCTTACTAGAAAGGGGCATTCCTCATGAAAATTCATAAACATTTATGATGAAATTTTTATCTTGATTTAAAACTGTTTCTTAGGAGATAAAAATTAAAAATGGGATCTGAAAACAATTGACATATTAAAAGAAAATCCATCACAACATTTCATTTCAAACTTACTGTGACAGCAGTCATAACCACACTAACAACACCAACTGCACAAGAGGCTACTCTGCTTTCTTCCACACCAGCCTTCTCAAGTATTGATGTTGAATAATAAAACACCTAGGGAAAGAAATAGAATAAAATTAGGGTAGAGAGTAGTTGGTATTAAATTTTTGAGAGGTGCATTAGATCAGCAACTATACTAAGTTGGCATGAACAGAATAGCCTACATGACAAAAGAGTGCTTTTCACTGCTAGTGCTAAAACTACAGTATCATCAGTTACTAGGGATCTTTCTTGTTACATACACTCACTAAAGACTTTCAACATTGCTGATCCTAGCAGTATGCAGGAGATGTGTCACATAGAAACCTAGTAATGGCTTAGCTCACCGTAGAGTCTCTTATTGGCACAGTGGTAGTGAGACTCCAAGTTTTTCCTTGTCCCATACCCAGAAACAGATGAAAAGACATCCTTCTTTTCATCATAAGCAAGCTTAAAATTTATCAGCTTTCCTCTTTCCTATTCTATCAAGTATAAGTGAGAGTATACTTCTTGCAAAACTACAACAATCTGTAAAGTAAGCAGGTGAATCATTTCTGAGAGACATGTGATGCCTTTGTGTATGGCATGGCTTTAAGATTGGTTTTATATCATTCTGTTCTTAGTATCATTTTAATCAAAGGGCTCTTGGAGCCAGCTCATTCATGTTATGGCTTAAGTTTGTATTGAGTTCTTGGACTTATTGAATATAGGTACAGTTGAATTTGGTTTGTGTGAACGTTTAAGACTTATGGAATAAATTTACTTTTATTTTTGGGAAGTTGTGTGATAAGAAAACTTGTGCATTCATTGTGATGGGAATTGGAAAAAAAGTTGTGTGGGCTAGAGGTGCGATGGGCAGGGGTCATCAGGCAGATTGTGTCCTTTTTGTTGGTGCGTGTGTGTGGGGCAAAGGGTGGGCTTGGTGGGCATAATCAGGCATCAAATGTTGCTCTAGTAGCAAAATATTAGTAACCCTCACCTTTCACGATCATTTGCACTATTGTGAAATATTCCTTGATATCTTCTGTTTTAAACAAAGCAGTCATTGCATTTGGTTTTTAACAAAGCAGCCACAATCATTCTTAATTGAATTTTAAGCCTTCATGTAGACTGATTTTCACACGTTAATATTTGTCACCAAACAGATGAGATAAAACCAACAGAAAAGTAAACAAACGGCCAGTCACAAAAGCAACACTTTCCTTTTCCCTTGAAAAATTTGCCAGTTCCTCAAAAGACATGTAAGCCAATAACAATACAAGGCACATATGAATTCATATTGGTTAAAAAGAATGATGAAATGTACAGACCACATGCAAAGCTGTCAATTGTTTCTTGAATATTACATGTGTTAAATATTCAATGGTGACATCTCATTTACATCTACATCTACTATTATTAGGAAGGTAAAATCTGTAACGACATCACACCAACCAACTCACACGCAAAGTGAGAAGACTACATGAAGGCTTAAAATTATATTAAGAATGATTGTGATCAAGAAACAGTCGAGGGATATTCCATAATAATGCAAATAATCATGAAAGATGATCATGGAAAAGCAATTGCGTAATGCTTGGTATGTTGTAATATGACATGTTATCACATATCAGATGAAAAAACAGTACAAATTTTTGGTCTACATTTTGTACCTGGTCTACATTTTGCACCTGGTCTGCAGTCTGCATTTTGCATTTTGTACTGAGCAGATTGGTATTGCTGTTTTTGTTTAAGCAAGCCTCAAGTCTAGACCGAAATGTTGGAACTCAAAAAAAATTTAGTGAGATTATCTTGGCCGCTATGACTGATGTGTGGACTGTATATATGTTAGAGAGCTCCCAAAGAAAAGCACAATGATAGAACAATGATTACTTTATACCAACTGAAGATGAATACAAATACATGGCTTACCAATATGGCTGCCTCTACGGTATGTGTTGAAGTGAACATTTTGGCTTCTCAATTCAAGTTGCATTTTTAGAAGTTTGAAATGTGACTTGAGGTTATCATTTTTTACTAAACTATACAAAAATTTTATTTCTGAGTTTCTGAGCTTCATTGAAATTAATTTTGACTTTCAATAAGTGGGGAGGGGTAGCATGAGACTACCTCCATTCACAGTCTACAATACTACTTCTGTTTACAGAATACCTGTATCCACAGTCTACAACTTTCATCAACATCTGCTTCACCATGATACCTCATTCATTGCTTCCAGCTCATTCATTGCTTCTAGCATGAATGAGCTGATAAAATGGGCATACCCTTGCCAACCTACGCCATAAGTTGTAACTTATGTAACTTTTATCAACATCTGCTTTACCATGATACCTTATTCATTGATACCAGTTCATTCATTG